AACATTTGCCACCTTCGTATCTTGGCTTTTAGATTTGTGAACTTTACAGAAAACAGTTGGAAGCTGACATTCCATTCTCAAAATGTAGTATGTCAAAATCTTTAAACTCTTTTCCTCCGCCAAGTGTGAGAGGCAGTTGATGTGTTGTACACACATGCATATCCACCCCTTTGTTAATAGAATGCACCAAGAACTACTTTGAGACACACAAAGTTTTGTATCTCCCTAAGTCCTAACTAAGAAAAATAAACCTTGGAAATTCTCTGGAAACTCATATAAGTGCCAAGGAAGTTAATGTAGAGACACTTGAAGACTTTCTCCAAAGAATGATATTGCCTGAAATAGCAATTTTACCTATAAAAATAAAGAAGATTCAACAGACAACCCTTTAGATCAAAAATGGGAGACAAGCAATGCAGGCCATTCCAAGGGATATGGCAGAGGGCATACCCTGTCTTTGATTAGACGCAGAAGGGCAGCATTGAAATAGGAACATGTGAAGAGTTGGCCCATATTTCCTTGAGTGTTATCCTGAAAGCAACAGATGAAAGTAAACAGGGATGAACTTCTAAACTGCTTCATGGTAGGGGTCAATTTATGAATGATTCATCTTACAGTGAGCAGGGATCTGAAAGATGTAATGAAGGAAAATATGAAATTGTAAGAACAGCTTGAGTCACTTTCTTAATGTAGGGAAATGAGATCAATTTGACCTAAATTAGCCCTGGTTTTAAAATTTTACAATGATTTGAGCCATTCACTGAAATTAACTGGAAAGTTCACTGCTATTAACTGTGTTTTGGAAAGTTACAGTGTGATCATGACTCAGGGACAAGGTGACCCAGAAATAGAAATCACAGCTGACCAGGGTCTGAAAGTCCATAATAGTGAGACAGGATGAAGAAAAACTCCAAGGGAAAAATTCTTCTAAGCTTGCAATGTGGCTTTTCTCTTTCCAAGACAGCCCACCGAGGAAAATCTGAGCATATGGGGAATGTGCTGTTTCCTGTCACTCTGGTGTATTTGTGTTGCAGAGACCAAACATGTTGAATGACATTTAGCATAGGTCACTGAAGCATGTGCACATGCACACACATGCACACACATGCACACACACACACACACACTCACATGCACACACATACACAACTTTTGATAAGTAACAGTAAGAAACAGCCTGAGCATATTAAAACCATTTCCATGTGTTTGATTTTCCCCTTGGATATAGAAAATCACTAGCTCTCCCCCATCCTAGATACAGAAAAGGGGAATGATAAATACCAAACCACTTGTAACATTGGGAGAAAAAAAATTACACAAACATTAATAAGCAACTTGACAGCTTCCATGTGGTCAAAGAAATTTTAAGTTAGAAAGAACTTCAAGTAAGTCTTCATTTTACTGATGATTTCATTTTATATCAATAAGTAAGTACTCACTCCAATGCTGTGAAGTTCTTATTTATTTAGAGGTGAACAAGATCTAGCCTTTGAGCTAGTAGAATCTGGATATGATGAGATAGACGAGGTGATACATGTGGTAGTGTGGTTAGATATTCGTATCCAAATTTTTATCCTCAAGCATCAGCAGATGACTGTGGCTGATTGAAATTGAAAAGCAATCCACCGCACTCCAGCCCCAGAATTGCTGAGAAAACGAGAACCATAAGCACTGTTTAAGAAGCTGCAGCAGTAGCCAAAACAATGTGAACGGATAGGTTCACTGTTACTGTTAAGCCCTAGAAATATGTTTGCATGAGCTCAAAGAGCTGAGTCTGGGACGCAGAGATCCACAATGCCACATTCATGCCATTCACAGAGGTGAGATGTTTCACAATGGCCTTGCTCACCATGAGAGGAGACTCTCTTCTGCCCCTGCTTCTTTGGGTCTGAAGTCTCTAATTCCAGGTCCCAGATAGCTGTATCTGATTAGCTGTTCTAAGTGTGTCTTTCTTATCTGCCAGTGCAGACTGGAGGAGTCCCTAGAATTTCATTGGCCATGTTGGCGTCCCCATGGGTGTGTGTAGATGGAGTGGAGTAGATTTTAAAATTACAGGTGTGGATATTAGTCTCTTTGGGCTTCAGTGGTCTCTTGAGTGACTCCTTTTTCATTCTATGCCTTTGAGAGTTTCCTCTTCCTCCTTCTCTTCCTCCTGCACTTTCTCCTTCAGGTGGTGGCAGAGTGAGATCAGGTGGTAGGGGAGAGGAGGCCTTGAAGCCCTTGTGATGCCATTTATATTCTATCTGATCACCTGCTATGAGAATTCAAGTTTTACTTCCTGAACAAAAGCCTTTATGAGGCACCGTACAGCATGGTATCAATTGATGGGTGATTCTTACCATTTTTCCTGAGTCACAAAAATGCAGTGTAGCTTCTTTGATCTAAATCCTGACCTCTGCAGGTTCCCTGGCCCTTTTGCCTCCTTCAGATTCCCACACTGAAGGATGTGAGACCATCTTGTCCTCAGCTAGCCCTGCTAGCTGGGTTACACATATCATGCTGCAAGCCATGTGGCTGCTCACAGATGCAGCCCACTCTCTAGGGCCTCCTGGTGTGTTTCTATGGAAACTCCCTTGACATTGCTGTCAACCTCTGGCTTTCTTCTTCCCACACTCTGGGACAGAGTGGGCAAGCTTGGCTTTCTCTGTCAGTTAGGAATTAAGATGAGTGTATCCCACTTTTTTCTTAGGTACAATAATCCATGTGGTTGCAAGTGACCATCATTTCAGCGGAAGAAGAAAAACATTTTTGAGCAGAAGTCACAAAACATTAACCCGCACAGATATCTGTGTAAGTCAGTAGAAGTGAGAAAGGAAGCAGGGAATGGGTGAAGGGGTAAGAAGAGGTTTCCTTAAAGACCTCTCCCTGAACCATATGTTGAGGATGAGCTCCGGACCCTACTCCAGATAGTTTAGAACATGTTCATACAGGCAGGTGAAGGGCCAACTGTCATGTGACATGATTAGGGGAAAGTTGAAGGCCAGCCAGACAACAGTCATCTTCACTCTCTGGCTTTTATGTCAGATGTCTGGAGACCTCCTGCTATGAGTCAGCGAGAGTTACACACTTCCTCCACAGGGCTTGAGAGCTAGGGCACAGCAGGACGTGTGGAGACCAGGCAGATCCTATAGAAGCAGAGCTGTGAGGAGCTGTTAACTGGTGAGAATTAATTTACTCAAGTGAGAAAGAACTATTTAAAGGATATGAAGAACAAAGTTCAGTCTTCATTAGACTGTAGGGGAAGAGAGCTAAAATGCTAGAGCTGATGATCACCAGTTACAGGTGGAGATGAGGGCCAGTCTCAAAGAGGTGGTCATGGGATTGATTTCTTAAGAGAGGCCTATCATTAGGAAGCTATTTGAAGGTCAAGTACACAGTATGGAGTGGAGTTGTGATCTATGAGAGCCTTTGTTTTAGGAATGCTCAGTGGCTAAAGTGCTAGATACAGCACCTTGCCTTTCTCCAAATAGTTTGTGGAAGCCACAGAAAACTGGACTACAGGAGATTGTGATAACCATATTTCTTCCTAGTATTTGGATAGTTTGTGAACACAAAATGCTCCTCGCCGAGATAGAGATGGTATTAAACATTAAAATTCATTTAGAGTTAATATTGCAGTTATGTCACATATTATCAGAAAAATATCTATCTATATTACTGAGTTAATGGGAAGGGAATGAAATAATGCCCTTCCTTTAAATAGAATTCTAAGACTACATGTGTATAGCCACATCTACATAAAACAGTGAAATAAGTTACAGAAAATGTTAGGCGAGGACTAGGTATTATGTGATGGGATTTATTAAGAAGGGGAAAGTAATTTCAGTGGAGTTGGATTAGGGAGAGTTTCTTGGAGAAGACTGATTTCTGGTGCTCTGAAAGAAAGAAAAGAACTATATATATATGTGTGTGTGTGTGTGTGTGTGTGTGTGTGTGAGTGTGTATAAAGACCAAATTGAAGACACTAGAGTGTGGGGGACAGCACAGAGCACAAAGTGTGCAGGGTCTGGAGAAATGAAGAGCCATTTTTGGGGAGGAAGCATAAAGGAAAATTAAGTTCTTCTCAGGAGTTGAGGGACCTGAGACCAAGGGAACTAGAGGGTCAGGTGGGACTGTGGGATGATGTGGGGAAATTTCAGTGGGGTTCTGGGGGAAGTAGTGGCTTAGGCACCAAGCCTTAGGAAGGACCTCTTCAGCAGGCAGAGAGAGACCTGTAGAACACAGAGAAAGATAGCATGAAAAATCTAAAAGAAAATGTTCCTTTATCACCATTCTGCCATCCACTACTTTAGATGAATCCTGCTGTCATGGTTTTGAGCCCAGACTAAGCCAAAGCTATTTCTTTCCATTTTCTGGACTGCGTCTAACCGGAAATGAAAGGCTTAAAGACAAGCTGTCTGAACCAATAAGGAAGACACATGTCTTTGTTTGAATTTTCTGCTTTTTTCATCTTAGTCTCCTTTGCAGATACTGCAAAGAAGCAACTATTGTATCTTTCATTTTTCTACTATTTACATGTTTTTTCACCTCAATTTTCTTATTCTTGAATTCTAAATAACTGGAAATAGTGGTGGGGTGTGTAGAAGGAAAATGTGAACCTCAGAAATGGAAAGGAAAGTGAAAGAACTTCTTAAGAAAGAAAGGTTCATTCTTGTTCATTTAAAAAAACAAGCAAATTTTACAGTGCAGTGTTCATTCAAGAGCATTTTGGAAGACGAAGGGTCAGAAGGCCCCCATCATATCAGTAGCATCTCTGAGCTGTGGTCACAGGGCTGATGTAGGAGGAACTGAGACTGTCAGGCCTCAGCACTCTTCAGTCACCTGCTTCCTGAGGCTTGACACACCTTCACCTCCGAATGAATCATCGAAAGGGAATCTGCCCAGGCAGGTTCCAAGGCTGCAGTGGATTTGTTTGCATGAAGATTTTTTTCTGTTCCTGCCAGAACTAAAGGAGTCCTGTTACTCGTTGGCAAACATCAAACCACTTTAATTTCCTTTTGTGGAAGTAGGACCATATGTATTGCTTGTGATTTTCTTTTTCTGTTACTTTTCCAACTATTTCTGTTTTCTCCCTGGAGTCTAACTGTAGGTAGTGCCTAGATCTCTCGGTTTCCGGTGAGGAACCTGAACTGTGGGTGTTGTAGTTCTCCTGCCTTCCAGGGTTTCTGGTTGGGCAGCATTGGTGTCACACTAATAGTCCTAGGTGGCTCCGGAAGCAGGTGCTAGCCACCCAGAGCAAGGCAGGCACGTTTGGCTTGGGTAGATTGACTTCCATTCACTAAAACAGTGCGCCTGGACTGAAGAAGCTGGGGCTCACTTCCACGCATGTAAGTGCTACTTTTTAACAATTAATATTCCTTTCCCTGGAGAAATGTACTACACGCTAGGGAGTTGTATGGTTTCCAGAAAAACTGAGCAAGTAACTTCTTCCTTCCCAAGCCCAGCTTGGAAAAAAGGGAAGGTAACTGGTATCCTGTGGGCTCGTGAGACATGGCTTAGAACAGTGCCTGGGGATATGATTTAGAATAAAGTAGTTTATTTAAAAAGGAGAAATACTTGCAATGTGAAGAGTCAAATGACAGAAAAGGACCACTTTGAGTTGCTTTAAATAGGTAGATGTTTGGAATTCTCTGAAGTTTTTAAATATTACAAAACACATCCAGATGAGTTGAAAAGACTGACTTTGGAAGTCAGATAAAGATGGGTTGGCCCCACTGCTTATTATATATGTAACATGTAGCAAAATGTTTCATTTCCTATAGCCTCAGTTTACTCACCAGTAAAATGGGTAAAAGCTGCTTCACTGATTTAATAGAGTTTTAAATAAGCAGACTGTATTGTACTAACAGATGGTTGGTGACTGATGGAAAGTTTGCTGCATTTTAATTATGTTTCTATTATGCTTCAAAAACAGATCAAAGAGTCAAATATGGTTGGTTCCATTTACATGAAGCATCTATATTACTCCAAATGTTACAGAAGCAGAAAGTAGGTTGCCATGTGCAGAGGAGAGGGAACTGAGGGTTGTTTTACAGGTAAAGAGTTTCAGTTTTGAGAGATGAAAACATTCCAGAGATTGTTGCCAATAATTAAATCTATCAAACATTATTGGGACTTCACACTTATAAGTGGTTAAGATGGTCATAACAAGTTATGTAATTAAATGATTATTTTTAACTCATAAGAGCAATTTTTCAATGATTTTTGGGCAATGTACAGAATCTAGGAATTACGCAGTCATAATTATTAGTTACAATTTTCTTGAAAGGTTTAGTTAAAGCACATTTATAAAACTAAAGGCAAATACATTACCTTTGCCAGTTTTCTCACCTTACCAGTGACTAATGTATGAGAGGATTATTTAGAGACGATGAAGAGGGTGAGAATAGTTTGTCAAAAGCCATCTTATGTTAAAATGCAGGAGTTAAGTTGGAGGACAGAAGACATAAGCTCGTTGAATATTTAGTATATCCATTCTCAAGAGACCACACATATCCCCATCTGTGTATGAAGACTAAGCACTTTGAATGGTATTTTGTGATAATTGAGAGTGTCAGCAACGAATCGGTGTGAAGAGCACAAAGCCTTGTTATGGGACATGCCTTGTAAGTGTGAGCTCCTTCAGGAGCTATGCCAGCAGGTGCAGGACAGCATCAAATTGAAGACAAAGGTGGGGGAAGCAGCAGAAGTAACACTGAACATTAGTGTGCTCTTCCTAACAAGGCAGCTTTGCTTTTGCTTTCAATGTCATCTATGGTATGGTTTCTCTAGGAAATTTTATTTATCTGTTTGACCAGAATTTCTAGTAATTCTACAGTGTTCTCCCACTGAGCTGGGCCTGGAGGTTAAAAGAATGACTCAGACACAACCCTTGAGGGGATCTGTATCTGCTCCTGGAGATGAGTGTTCATAGAGGGAAGAAATGCTAATCCATCAATCACTCGGACTGTTCGTGGAGTCCCCTTCCTAAATCTCACTCTATAGAAAGTGTGATGCTCAGTATCAGAGGCTTTAAAAGAAGCCTCTATAAATCTGTGTTTGAACCAATGTCATTGGAGAACAGAAAAACTAAACTTGAAAACTTGAGCATGTGTCATTCAAAAACACAGGGGAGGAACTTCCCCTCACAAGGAAGAGGTGCTGGCCCGGGATGCTCTCGCAGTGAACTGTGGACACTGGGGGAAGTGGGTAGACTGGCCAGCACTGGAAGGATGTGCAGACTTGCGATCAGCAGGAAATTGTGAAGAGAGCCTCCCACGTACATTCTCTAAATTTTGCATGTGCAGTGTGGTTTTAGGAATCATACAGACTATAGAATCAGTAACGTGGACATGGCAATCAAAGAGTTATATTTTTCCACATACATTCAAGTCTTTAAGGCTCAATTCTATTGACATGACTTGAAAATTCTTCTAATACTTGTTTAAGCCTCTTTCGTAACAACAGAGTAAGCAACAGATGTTAGCAGGCAAAAGTATCTAGTTTAGCAACTATTAAAGCTGACATTTATTTTTACAGGCATTGCCTCTTCATTGCAAGAGTCAGTGTTTCCATTTATGATGGCAGGCATTAACCTTTGAAATATTTATCTAAGCTAAAGTGAGTGTTGATTTACAGAGAAATTATGAAGTAAAAAGTAGTTTATATGGTAATTGACAATGAAAAAATGACAAGATCCCTGAATACCTGAGTTTAGGAAACAATGCAATAGGAGGAATGTCAAGTGGGAAGATTGAAAAGCGGTATTCAATTAACTGTCATCATACAGTGATACCTAGAGAGGCAGGACACTCCACTCTGTGGATGAAGCTCTCAGGGATTTCGGGTGATGATGCTGGAATGAAGTTCTCTGTGGAATCTTCAGAAGGATTTGGACTGTCGCTTCTAGACAGCAGTGGGTTTGAAACTGTCCTGCCCCAGAGACTGACATGGTACAAGCCTTGTCTGCTCTAGTAAATGCATCCTGTGAACAGCGAACAAGGACCTTGGAGCACAGGGAGCATGCGTACAAGGAGGGCCCTTTGGACACGTGTTTTAGGAATGTGACTATAAGTAAATGAAGGATGCTAGGGACTAAAATGGAAAAGGAAAGAGGAATGGAGTCATTCAGTAACAAAGAACATCGACAAGTGGTGAAGGAAATGCCAACCAAGGTGGTCTTGCGTTTTTAAGCTTGGCGACCTGAGAGAGGGGTGGGAACACTGAGGTGAGAGAAGGGGAGCTAGTTCTTGTGGGGAGTAGGGATAGCCTTGCACCTCTGGTGGTTTGACACAAGGATAGGAGCAGACCTTCACAGAGAAAGGAAACGGCATTGATCCCTGTGTGGGACGGTAATTTTGGCTTGCACCAGAGATGGCCAGCACTCAGCAGACCCAGCAAGCATGGCGGCCCTGAGAATGAGGCCCACCACTGCTTGTCCTCCTGTCTTACCCAGGGGCTGCGGGGAGGGAAGCTGAAGAAAGAGAGCTCTGGGTTCCAAGGAGTTAGAAGGCTGAGGAAGCGTGTGCTGATCTCTCCTCCCAGTGTTTGACTTTCCCTCCAGGGTTCTCTTATAGTTACTGCGGTCACCACTTTACCCAGAGATGTAAGGCTTGTGTACAGGACCTTCCTCAGAATGCGTGGGAAAGTCTTCACCTGCAGCCCAGAGTCGCACCCCAGGGTTTATCTGCAGATATAATAGAGGTGTTTTCTATTTTTAGCGTTGCAAATACAATATGCTTTCTAATACATGCAATACACAGATATTTACAGATAGGTGACTAACACAGACTTGTGCATCCAAGACCCAGCTTAAGAAATAAAACATTAAAGATAAAAAATAAACGATCTTCTTCCATCACATTTCTCTTTCTGATCATACTATCTTTTATATAGATAACACTGCAGAGCATGTTTGCATTCTTGTGTTTTAAAAACTGCTTTTACTCTTTCTACTGTCCTAGGAATGTATACAGTATGTAATAATGGTTTTTTTGTGTAATGTTTTTGACAGTTTAAATTCTTCATGTGAAGTATATATTAGGAATCTGCAACTTGCTCTTATTTCTCAGTATTACAATTTTGAGATCAATTTATGATAGTTATTTTGGAATAACCCATTGATTTTCATAGCTGTATGATATTTTGTTATAAGTAGCGCTATAAGATATTAGATTTCTTTTTGTGTACTGATATAAGAATTATTTTGGTGAATATTTTTAGGAACAGATTTGCTAAACCACAGGCATATTTATCTTCAACTTTATGAGATACTGAGAAATTACTTTCAAAATATTCATACCATATTATATGCCCAGACAAAATGAGAGGTTCTACTTCTGCTTATTATCTACAAATTTTTTCATCTCACATACTGTAATCAAATAATAGTTCCAGATATATTGGAAAGCTTTACGCTTGTGACCTAGATATTGCTTGAAATTTTTCAAACTCTAAAATATAGTGAAAATTTTTATTTTAAATAAGCTTCTCTACGATGCTATAGATTGACTAGCTTTTCCATTTAATAAACATGTTCTGTCCTATTTATTGCATTAATAAAAATAGTGATGATAATAATACTCATAATTACTGGTGACACTGAGCACTTTCCATGTGCCATATACTCTCCTAAGCACTTTAATCACATTATCCAATTCACTGAACTTTGAGGGGCAGAAAATGATATCATACCTCTCAGAGATAAAGAAATTTGGCTCACAAAAATTTTTTTGTTAACAGTAAGTATGGATTCTGAGTGGGTTCTTTTGTTTGTTTGCTTGTTTGTTTTTTGGAGACAAAGTATTTTCAGGTGACCCAGCATAGCTGGTTTCAAACTCATTATGTAGCCCAGAATGGCCTATTGAGCTTGTGATTCTCCTGTCTCAGCTTCCTAAATGCTGAAATTATGGATATACATCACCATGCCCAGATGAGATTGTACCTTTTCTGACTAGTAAATATCTTCTGACTGGGACAAGTATGAAAGAATAAATAGGAAGAAACTGGAAAAAAAAATAGACACTATTATAGTTCTTAAAAACGAAAAAGCTTTTAGAATCGGATTAGTATTTAAATAACATCAAAAGGTCACACTCAAATAATGGGAGGAGTCAAGTAATTGCTATATTTGTAGTAAAGAGAATTTAATTTTGCCTAGGAAAGTGTTTTTTACAGTGACCAAACTTTACTAAACCTTGGAGACTTGAGAGAGGACAGAAAGAATCAAAAGTTGGAAGGAAGCACTGTAGAGAATATGGAGAAGCATAAAGTATGGAGTATATTTGAAGAAGTTAATTAATTCATCCAATCACCAATTCATTGATTAATCTCTGAACATCTTTTTTTACAGGAGCTGTGCTATTTTGGAATACAGCAGTAAGAAAGACATCACCCTCCCCATAGATGGACATGCATGGAGATAAAGACCAAAATATGAAGAAAGTAATTGTGAATGATTTTCATGTATAGGCCAAAGGAATGGGCACTTTATTCCAGGAAGGAAATGAGAAATGGGCGTGGATCATTGTAAGGTGAGTGGTGTCAATCATTTATTTATGTATTTAGTAAATATTTATTCTTCCTGGAATTTATAGTACAGGATAACTGTCCTGTCTGCGCAGGACCAACAGAGATGCTTAACGCAGGCTGGGGAAGTACAGTGAGGGGAGGGAGACTCAGGTGGGAGATGAAATTGTATTTAATCTTTAATAAAATAATACTTCTCTCTTTTTCTGATGCTAAAGGAGTTCCACATTCACTGCAGAAAGTTTAAGAACCATGATCATACTTATCAAGGATGGACACCTGTAAGTTTTAGGTCCTATATCCTATTAGTCTTTTTATGTCAAACACATTTTCAGAATGAATAATTGACCAGAAATGTTATCTGAACTTATTGAAGCATATGTTACACATTTTATATAACTTATATATTGTTGTATAGCAAAATTTTAGATTACTCATTTATAAGTCAAATTAAATTTTGGCCAGTTCTCTACTGATGAAAATTTTCTCCCATTAATTGCTACTATGGCTAACACTGTGGTACTTGGTGTTGTTCAGATTTTGTAAGCCATATCTGATTACCTTTAAAGAAAAATTTCTAGACTATACGTCACGACCCTCACAAAAATTCTCAATCCTATTATATAACAGAGGAAAGTTTATAAAGAGTTCTTAATACAGACTGAATTGATGAAACTTGCACATCAGACAGATCATCCTAAAACAGAAAAGATTGGAGACAGTGGACCAGGTACGATTTACTGCAGAAATCTAGGTGGGAAAAAAGAGCCTGTACTAGTTAGAAACGGAATGCTGTGAAAGAGTTTCATGACAGTGACTTTGTAGAAACCAGGGGACTGGGGACAGTGGAATGGGTTAGGAAGGAAGTAATACTGACTGCGGATGACCTCACTTTCTGACCTAAGTATGTACTCACTGGGTGGATGCCTGTATCTTTGTTTCTCTAGATAAGGAAAACAGGAGAATCAGGCTAGGGAGGAAGGACGGGCACGGTGAGTTGAAGCTGGTGGACTTTGACATAGCTGTAGTCATCCACACGGAGAAGTTGCTTAAGCAGTTGGGCAGGTCTTGGAGGCAGGAGTGAAAATGCATTAGAGATGGACAGGGAGTCAGAAATCTCTAGGTGTTGCTGTCATTATGAATGAGGATGCTCTTACAGGAGCATTAAGAACCACAGCATGAGAAGAGTGTAGGCTCAGGGTGGCGCCCTGTGAAATAATAGCATGAACCTGTAGTTAGAGGAAGAAGCAGGCATAGTGGAGACTGAAAAGGAAAGGCCAGACAAACAGGGGAAAGTTCAGTGAAGCCAGAGGGAGTGAAGACAAAGGGGGAGAAATTTTCAGGAAGGGAAAAGTTGACAGTGTCCAATGTCACAGAGAGCCCCAGTAAGAAAGAAAGGTGGGTGCCCTTTCCATTTTGCTGGGAGCCTTGTCCAGATCAGTTTCTGCTGAGCAGCAGGGACCAGCACCAGAGTGCCGCATTTATACCTATGTTTGAGGAAGATGACTTGCATCACAGTGAGTGAGTAGAATATCTTAAGGAAGGAAGAGACAAGAAAGTGGGAGACCAATGCAATGGAAAAGACAACGGGATTCTAGAAAGGAGAGAAAATAATTAAACAGGGCAGATGCCATGGCCACAGATATGTACTGTGTCAGTGGAAGAGGATGGAGTGTAAGAGGGCTTCCAGATACTAATCTGAAACGAATCTGAAGATTGTAAAACCATGAGTAAAAGCAGGTGGTACCAGTTGTGGGAGGGGAAAGATGTTGTTTAAAGTACACAGAAACATGGACACAGCTGTGGACAGCATTCCCATGAGGATAGCTTGCAGGTGAATATTATCATTCTGGAGCTCAGGGAGAACTAGCTCAGACACAAAGATCATTGACCTTTTCCTATAAAAACTGGGGTTTAGATTCATGAGTCACTCTGGGCCAACTCAAGGAGCTCAGTAAAAGTAATAAGAAAGAAGAAAACCTTGGGGAATGTTTAATAAACAGGTAATGTAGGAGGAGCCAACCAAGAAAACAGAATAAGAATAGTAAAAGAAATAACAGGAAAATCACTTTAGTAGTAATTTAAGAAAGCAAAGGCAAGGATGGTTTTAGGAAGCCAAGATTCTGTCTGAATCAGATGTCACCATTTTTCAAATAGAAAGAGAACCAAGAAATCCCTTTAGGAACTGTCCTTCTTCCAACCCTTGTTTTGTCCTAGAAAATACAGTTGTATAATTTTATGTTTCCACCAAATTTATTTTTCCCAATTTCTACTTTTTTGGTGTGGAATTACTTAATTTTAATCCTATAATTGCTTTGATTTCTATTCCTGCTGGCTGAAGCCACACAAGATATTACATGACCAAACTACCTTGCCCAAAACTAACCTGTTTTGGTTCAAGACCAACCGTAACTACATAGTAAAACCCTGTCTCAAAAATTAAAAAAAACAACTAACCTGTTATGACATCATGAAAATATATGACAAATAAAATGTATGTTTCCCTCTAAATTTTTGACCAATCTAAAGAATATAAATTGTATTAATGTCAAAGAAGATATTGATTCATATATTAAAAAGATGTATTTCATGAAAAGTGTTCTTTGATGACCATAGCATGAAATCAAGCTCTTCAGACTAGAGTGTTGAAAGGAAATTTTTTTACCCTTTATTAATTGGAAAATAGAACATTGTTACCAAAATGTGCAGTCTCTGCTAAGTGTGTTATCTGTTTTTTTGATAGCCTTAATAAAATTGAAAAGTTATAAATATTACTGTTTAATTTAATATAAACAGTAAAAATTTCATTTCTTAGTGTTAAGGTTAATTCCTCCTTCTTTTCATGTAGCTTCCGCATTTTCAGTTTTCGTGCTATGCCTGTATTTTGATTTATTTTTCTGTCATCTCTTGCAAAAATAACGTATGTTTGTTACAGCTCACCTACTTACTGAAAAACATTACCTCTCCTGTTCTTCGGTTTTATGCTCTGTTTTTCAAAGACTGGTCTTATAAACAAGTTGGTCAGTTCTGCAGGATGTGTTTTTCACTTGGATGTGGATTGAGACACAAATGTTTTACTATGTCAGCACTGAGAAGTGGATATTGGAGACATTGTGCCAAAAAGAAAGACTTCAGAGTTACATTTTATAAAATTGAGAAGTAGACACTTACTCCAGTATAAATCCACATAAACATCCAAAATGATGGAAAAACTTAAGGCCAAAGCATATACGCACATATTTCTCATTTCAAAATGCCAGGGAAAGCATTCTGGTTTCCTTTCTTTTACTTAATACACTGTAGTGATGGGATCCTACTATTGCTTCTGTTGTTTGATCAGTCTTGCATGCTTATATCTAGTAATCTGAGCAACTACTTTGAAGATAACAATATGCACTCTAATAACCATTGGTAATTTCCTATTGTCCTGTTTTGAAATTCTGTATCATTTTTATTGTCTTTGCTTTTCTATCTTCAAAATAATTTTCTAATATGTAACAGTTATTGTTAGAGTTGCAATGATCATATTTGCATAGTTTCAAGATGGAGAGTTGGAAATTCTGTCTAACAGTATAGGATAATTGATTTCAGATACTCAGACCAAGTATCTGGCAAAAGATCCCAACTGAGAATATTTTCCTCAAGGACTCAATGACTTCCAGTTGCAACAAAATATGAAGGAGGAATTCACACTAAAATAGTTTTTGAAAAAAGATTTTTTGGAAGGCCATGCCTGTAAAGAGAGGCAGAGAAAGGAGATGCTACTCTCTCAGGTCAAACTGAGAAGTGACTTCATTGCATATTTGAAGAAAAGCTGGTATCTTCCTGCACAGAAACCAGATCTCATCAAGGCACAACTGACTTAGGAATGCATCACTCGCTTCACGGGTGTTGCAGTCAAAAGTTTATGAGGATATCCCAAAGTGCATGACAAGGGCTTCTACGCGCGCGCGCGCGCGCGCGCGCACACACACACACACACACACACACACACACACACACCCCATATTAGCAGCAACTACAGCAGCAATAAATATTAGCCAAGTCCAGCATGGAGGGTTGAAGCCTGCTCTCAATCATACAACTAGAGTAAAAATATTCCATTTTGTTTTTCCTCTTCCTTATTCTCAAATTTTGGAGCCACCAGGAATAGTAGCTAGCAGGCTGGGTGGTGGAGAGGTAACGTGGAAAATGTAATGGTTACTCTACCCACTTTCCAAAGACTGTAGATTTAGATGGTGTGGAGGAGTGTGATTAGCTCATACGCAGAGATTGGTGTACTGGTAGAAGAAACTGCATTATCCAACTTAAAGTAACCACAAGGTGGGGGATTTTATATATATATATATATATATATATATATATATATATATATATATATATATCTCCATCCAAAAGACACATGGGCCCAACTGGGGAATTTTCATAAGTTCCACGAAAAAAACAAACTTCCCCATTGAGTAATTTTTAAAAAGTGGTGGACAAACAAAATATGTATTCTATTTCATTTCATCAGTCATGTTTAAAATGGTTATATACCTATCTTTGCCCACATAAAAGGGAAACACTCATTCTTGAAGAAGCATTCTATGCTAACCTGTGGATTTCTAGAGCAAAGTTAGAGTAGGAATTGCTGAAACAGAATTTTAAAGCTATAAGTTTCAGTAAGGTAATCACTAGCTACATATATATTTTAACATCTAAATTAATTAAAATTAAGTCTAATAAAATACTCTCAAGTGTTCAATGGCTACCTGTAGTAATGGATTACCTGGTGTGTGTAACATTGCCCAAATCAGATATTTTAGGCAATAGAAATGTAAAATTATTCCTACCTCATAGAAGATCAAAGAGGCTTAGAGACTTGATCAGATGATTTGATTTCATGTCCCTTGTTCTCTTCTTTAAAGCACATTGGTTGACACTCAAGGCAAGTGTAAAATCCTCTTAAAAATACAAAATCTACACTCAAAATACAAAGGGAAAGTTTTTACCCTCTAGGTACTATATTCCTAAGCAAAGGAGATGGCTCATCTCTACATGACTACAGTTGGTCAGAAACACAATCTTGTGTGCTGTTTCTGGTATTTCCCATTTTATAACCCATAAAATGTGTTTATAGAGGTAGTTCCACCCAAAGACCCTTTCATGAAAGGAAGGAGTTTGGACAGCAATAGCGAAGTACTAGATAATGTCGCTTATCTGCATTGTCCTCACTTTGGTATGGTTCTCCAAGAAACTACTCACTGACTTTGATGTGGATAGGTGGGTTTACAGACCA